GTTTCCTTCGATTGACCAAATCTGAATTCGAATCTAAGCCAATCTCTGAAATTACTACTGGCAGTATCACCTTCAAAGTTACTCCACAAGTTTTCTCATCATCACTCTTGACTCTTGCCGTATTCAACCAAGGACTTAAGTCCAAGACCCATTATGGAGTTTACACCAACAAGGACTTCAACGTCTATGTTCCTATTAGCTTCAGCTTCGGATGGGACTTCAACACCCGATTGTACACATACGCAATCAAGCCTGCCTTTGAACAAACCAACTTCCTCCAATCAAACGCCAACTATGCTTTCATCATTCCAAGCTACATTGGAGCAACTAAAGTACGAGCCATCACCAAGGAAATCCAATCTTTGGTACCTGCTTACAACCACCCTCTTGTTCAGTTCAAGAGCCGTGAATTAGGTATGAACTTGAACCTTGGCTTATCCACTGAACGACCCTGGTTCATTGACTTAACCGAGATCCCATGTGAAGGAACCGTTGCCTGGCTTTTGGAGAAATACAATGAAATGAACCAATTCAACAACAACATCAACTTGACTCTTGTTCAAAATGAGGAATACCCAGCATCTGGTTTTGTTGGTTCATTCAGATACGAACAAGACATCGATGGTGAATACGTCGCTATTGGTGAAACCAACCCATCAGAAGAAACTAATGCACGAAGAATTGTACAAGATTTGATCCAACGATACCCATCCCGAATCAACAACCCTGCATTCTTTGCCCGATCCATCGAATTCTACCTCGCTACTTTCGGACACCCAGAACCCACCGAATTCAACTCAACCCTTACTTTAGGATCTGCTATTGACAACCATGCCTATTGGTTCAGATTAAACTCAACCTTAGACAACAAAAACGAAGATCTCTGGACCCGATTTGCTCGAATTGCTATCATTGATGGTAAAGTAGAACGACCAGTTATCCCAAGCGATCTTTTATGGAGAAACCCAGAAAAATTCATCGGTAACTACATCGCCACATTGCATGGGCCAGTAATGTTCGATCAGAACAACCCGACTCTAACATCTTGGTTAAAGGTGAACTCCGACGATCACCACGAGACCCAGTTATTCCTGAAATGGAACGAGAATCATGGTTCCACAAACAATGCAAAAAGGACATCAAGCACGGTAATGCCACCAACCACGCTTGTGAACGAGTTCTCGCTGAACAAGCATACTTCAATGTTGTCACCGGAAAGATTGAATTCCGAGAAGTCCAAGAACCTGTCCGAGAATCAATCCGAAAGGTCTACTCTGAACTTAAACGATCCCTCATGTACTACTGGAAGCCATGGTCAAACATCTCATCTGAGAGATTCGAAGGTGAACAAGATGTTGTAACCTTTGCTGCAACTTACTCCAACATCATCTACAAACGACCAGTAATCAGTTTCTTCGTTCAAACCCCAACTGAAAAGGTTAACTTCACCAAGATCTTTGTTCCAGTTGCACTTTTCCCCGCAATGCACCCAATCAACTACCTTAAAGCTTCACCAATGCCAAAAGACCAAACTTGTACCGTCATGAAAAATTCGGTCAGAACCTTTGACAATGTCACTTACAATACTTGGTTGGACGAATGTGAATTCGTTGTTTCCATGGATTGTTCACTAAGCAAGCAGTTCGCTGTTACCGTCAAAGGACAAGCTGGTAAACGCACCGTAAGAGTCTACACTCCACTCCAAAACTACTACAAACTCTATGATGTCAAGAAGGATTCTGCTAGTTTAACTGTCAACAACCGTTTCGACCAACAACAAGGACCTGACTATGTATTAACACCCGGTAAACCCGCCATTCGTTTAGACATGTTACCAAACACACGATACCATGAAGCTCACCAAATCTTCATGCACGATGGTGTTGTTAACGTTGTTTTACCCAAAGAAAATGTTCGAGTTGCTTTCGATGGACATTACTTGAAGATCACAACTTCACCTCTTTTCGTTGGTAAGACCTGTGGTCTTTGCGGTAACCAAGATCAAGAATTCTACCCTGAATTCTTAGACCCTGGAATGGTTAATCTTGCATCAAACCTCACCGCTTTCCGAGACTCATACTCACTCCACAACTGCACTGACCCAAACCCATGTCACGATGACGTTTGTGATGTTGACGCAATGGCTCACCAAAGAAGATCACCAAAGTTTCTTTCTGCCGGTAAATCAGAAAAGAAGGCATCTGTCCTCCCTGAGTTAAGAACCTTAGTCATCAGAAAAGAAAAGGAAATCTGTTTCTCTAAGTTCCCTGTATACATGTGCGAAAAGAACTTGAAACCTACAACAACTGAATCCAAACAGATTGAATTGGTTTGTCTAGGTATCAACTCACACCCAACTGTCCACTATTGGGCTCAACAAGCTGAAAAACGTGTCATTACTGAAGTTATGGACTTAGAAAAGACTGAAACCTCAACTTACGACAATCCAGCTAGATGTGTAGCTGAATCAGTTCGAGGAATCTAATAACTTCGTCCTCTTTCTGTTCACTGTTAGTCCCATAAGACAAACGTAAAACATTTACAAATTTATAAATATTACTGTAAAGTTGTTCTGAAAAGGCATTTTACAAAAAAACAAATCTTAATCTAAAAAATAATTATGATTAAATAAAGTAATTAACAGATTACATTATATTTACTTTGCCCTCAATTCATTTACAAAACTAATTATAACGAAATAGTAAGTAATCAACAAAAATAAATTGTTATATCAATTAATCGACTTTGATACTTTCACGGATCAATCCAAAACCATGAAAATAAAACAATCAAATATTTTCTGGTTTGGATTACAGGACATGAGATGAATATTGATTAATAAATTATTCAGTGTATTAGTGGATGAAATAAGCCTAGTCAGTTGATTAAATAAATTTGATTCTTAAGTCTGTTAGCTTTCGGTATAACATCCTTTCAACACAACTAACCAGTATCCTGGGGTAGTTTCATAAGTTACAAAGAATGAGATTTTTAACACTTTTTAAAATGAATCGAGATATTGAATATAAAAGTAATTGTTGAAGTGAAGATGAAAATTTTAAAAGCAGAACACGTCAATGATCAAAGGTGATATTCGGATCATTTTAATGGTTACCATGTAAAACGAAACCTAGCAGCAATGTGATTTTTCATTGCTTATGATTCAAATCGTTAAAGTTTGTCCCTCCAATTTCAATGAGATGATTATGGAATCGAGTTATTATCGTGTTTATTTTTGCTTGCATATACATAGATCTTTACATTTTTGTACCCTTCTTTGTCTTCACGTAAACTGAACTCAGATCAATGGAATTTTTCGTAACCAAATATTGATCACTTGTTGTCAGTCAGAATCTTT